TGCCATGAAGTGATGGGACCAGATGCCATGAGCTTAGTTTTCTGAATGTTAAGTTTTAAGCCAACTTTTTCACTGTCCTCTTTCACTTTCATCAAGAGGCTCTTTAGTTCTTCGCTTTCTGCCATAAATGTGGTTTCACTGTATATCTGAGGTAACTGATATTTCTCCTGGCAATCTTGATTCCAGCTTGTGCTTCATCCAGCTTGGCAATTCACTTGATGTACTCTGCATATAAGTTAAATAAGCAGGCTGACAATATACAGTCTTGACGTACTCCTTTCCCAATTTGGAACCTGTCTGTTGTTCTATGTACAGTTCTAACTGCTGCTTCTTAACCTGTACACAGATTATTCAGGAAGCAGGTAAGGTGGTCTGGTATTCCCATCTCTTGAAGAATTTTACACAGTTTGTTGTGATCCACACAGTCAAAGGCTTTGGCATAGTCAATAAAGCAGAAGTACTTGACTTTGCATTCCAGGATGTCTGGCTCTAGGTAAGTGATCACATCATCATGATTATCTGGGTCATGAAGATCTTTTTTGTATAGTTTTGTGTGTTCTTGCCACCTCTTCTAAATGTCTTCTGCCTTTGTTAGGTCCATACCATTTCTGTCCAAAAGTTCAAGCTTCACTCAAGTGTTTTAAAATCACTAAGATAATAAATTTTCTAGACTTTTAGCAGTAATACTAGATGCCAAAATACATGGAAATATATCAAAGCCTTGGGTTACTATAAATCAGAAATCAAGTATTCTATTCATACTAAAGTCTAATAAGTGGAGTCAAACCAATTTATGTGTAATCATTATTCTAGGTATCTCATATAGGTGGGTCACACATTTGTCCTTTTGCATTTGGCTATATCATTTATAGCATTGTGTTTTCAAAGTTACTCCACATTGCACATTCATCAGAATTTCAATCTTTTTAAAGGTTGATTAATATTCCTTTGTATGGATATGTCATATTTTGTTTATGCTAATAGACATTAGAGAGTTTCCACCTTTTTGGCTACTGTGAATAATGCTGCTATTAACATTGGTGTGCAAGTATATGAGTCCCTGCTTTCAATTCTTTTGGGTATATACCTAAAACTAGAATTGCTGGTAATTCATATGGTAATTCTATATTTAACTCTGAGGAACTTCTATATTGTCTTCCTGATCCTCTTAAATACATTTTAATTCCCTGTTGAAATTACCCATTTTTTTAAAATTTATATTCTCTACCTTTGTTTTTTTCCTATATATTTGAACATGTACATAGTTATTTAAAAATCTTTTTTGGATGATAGTAATATCTAGATCATCTATGGATCTGCTTCTGTTTCTTGGGTTTCGGTCATGTCGTGTTGTCTTTTGGTATGCCCTGTAATTTTGTACATGCCTCCAGAGGACTTCCCTTTCTTCTAGTAGGCAGATATAATGGTAACTGATCACCTTAAACCAATCAGGTGGCTGTGCTGAGTGCAGGTTTAATTGCATTGCCAGTAAAGGTCAAGCTACTTTGGGTTCATCTCCATTCCAAGAGCATAGCCCTCCAGGATTTTTAACTGAGACCCTGGGAATTCATTGAGATTTCTCCCTCTGGAAGGTTTATAGCTCTAGTCTGTATCTTGTGAGACTGCCAAAATGTCTGCTTTTCAAAGCTTTCCAATGAGATTCTGTAAAGCCCAGGATGTGGCAAACATCCCAACAGGATGACTGCCTGTGTGCTTGAGGTTCCCTTAGTGTTCTGTAAAAGCTTGCTGGTTTCTTGTCCCCAGAGCATAGGTCTCCCAGGATACAGTCCTGGTTCTCAGATGCCTGCTTATGCCTAGTATTAGCAAATTCCTCAAGGGAAAAAGAAGCTACAAAAGTCAGCTCACCTTTCTTGAGATTCTTTTAGCTCACCTTCAGTCTTGGGGTTCAGCCCTTTGGGATCTCAGCCCAAAGCACGGTATACCAAGGTCCCACCCTTGGTAGAAACTGTGCTATATTTTTATCTTCACAGCCTCGTAAGACTATATTTTAGGTCATATATCTCCAGGCAAACAGTTACAAAATCAAGGCTCACCTCTCCTAAATCTTATCCTTTCTCAGATCTTTTTTTTTTTTTTTAATATTTACTTATATTATTTGTCTGTGCTGAATCTTACTGGCAGCACTAGTTTCTTTGATCTTTGATCTCTAGTTGTGGCATTCGAATTCTGAAGTTGTGGCACGTGGGATCTAGTTCCTTGACCAGGGATTGAACTGAGGCCCCCTGCACTGGGATCATAGAATCTTAGCCATTGGACCACCAGGGAAGTCCCCCTTTCTCAGATCTTAATCAAGTAATTCCTCACTACCTTGTTAGTTCTTTGAAGCTTTAACATATACTTTAAAAATATTTTCTCTGCCTATTTTCTTTCTTTTAAAAAAATATAATTTTATTTATTTTTGGCTGTACTGGGTCTTTGTTGTTGCTCAGGCTTTTTCTCTAGTTGCGGTGCACAGACTTCTCATTGCCGTGGCTTCTCTCGTTGCAGAGCACAGGGTCAGGGTACGTGAGCTCAGTAGTTGCAGCTCCCCGGCTCTAGAGCACAGGCTCAGTAGCTGTGAGGCACGGGCTTAGTTGCTCCACAGCATGTGGGATCTTTATGGAAGATTGAACCTGTGTCCCCTGCATTGACAGGCAGATTCTTTGCCAGTGAGTCACCAGGGAAGCCCCACTGCTTTCTTTTCCAATCACACAACTCCTATGCCATAGCGGTACTATTTAGTACTACTGGTCTTCAAGTATTTGCCAGTTTGGGTAAGTTTAAGAACATAATTCCCAAATGCAGAGAAATTACAATTTTTTTTTTAAAGACAGTCTTAGGAAAAAGATATATCTTAGACTTTGAAAACTTATTTTCAAGTTTTAGAAAGATAACCATTAATTTATTTGAGAATTATGTTCTGCTTTCATTTCTTATCCATTAAAATGAACTTGAAAAATGAGGTACTTAAACTATAATTTCACTCATAACAGAATATGTACCAACATATGCCTTATGTTTTAAAGGCTACTATATTAAAAACAAGATAAAACCACCTCTATTTCTAATCTCTTGAAACAGTATTTCTAACATAGCCAGATGATGTTAATAAGTCTTCCTGGGAGGGTTACAGTGGGGATGGATTTTTCTCCTAATTAAATATATTTGCTTTCTTTGGAGATGCAGAACACACATTAGTATATTAAAGATCCTAAGAAGTCCTCAGTAAAGTCAACTCTTTATATTTGTTTCACTTTCTGTTTTCAAGCACATCTGATTCATGGACTACCTTTTATGGTGACTCAAGAGTTTGAGAAAAGTGACCTTAAAAAAGGAAAATAAACATTTCAAATAGTTTTGGTTATTTATATGTTATTATAGTTGATTATATAACTTCTTTCTTCTTCACTGAAGTTGAGCTGATGAGTTCTATGAGGGGTTTTGTTAGCTTTATTAATCTATAACTTCCTTTGTCAGTCTTTTCTGACTCTGGGTAGCAGAAACAGCGTGAGCTTTCTATAGAGACAGAGTTGGGATCAAATTCTGGCTCCACCATGAAAGGCAAATTCTTCTCTCTTGTTAGTCATATTTCTTTATTTGTAAAGTGGGTTTGGGGGGCTTTCACAGGATTATTTTAAGTACTAATGACAATATGAAGTATCCAGTATACTGCCTGGCCCCAAAGTTTCCTTCTATTTTAAAAGTCCTCAAGGATCTGAACGGCCAATTGGAATGAACATAAGATTGATATCTTTCAACCTTCCTTGATTTGGAACTCTTCTTTGCTAATTAATTCCCTTGCTTCTTATATTAGTATTTCTCTTCTGACTACTTAAGAGGATGTTATACTCCTGGGGAATAATTTATTTTTATTTTAACTGACAGAATGTCTAGAGTTAACCTGATTTTTATTCTCTTAGAACTTTGGAAAGCTTCAGGTTTCCCTGTCTTATGACCCTATATAATTTGTTACTGTAATAATTATAATAATTATCTTACCATACTGTAATAATTCATTTCCTTCCCTACTAGACTCTAAGTTCATAAGGTCAGGATACCTTCTTCCCTGCTAAATGTATACACCTAGCACCACTGGCCTGTTTAAAAAGTAATCATTCAATAATTAGAACTATTAATAAGTTATAATAATTGGGATCTCAATAGTTATTATATAAAAATATAATTCTCAGATGAATTCTTAGATGTTTTTAATATTATTTATATAGAAGATATTAGCAGAAAACAAGGAGTTAAATTTACTTATCCTCAAACATTTAAAATATAAATGCTATGGAACCAATATTTACTACTAGAAATCTTATTCTGTTAGAGTGATTTTCCTAAGATATATACAGGAGGATAGAAATTAAATAATAAATACACATATATACTTTTACATATATTTTCAGCATTCGAGAATGACTCCATTTATTCAAAAGATATGTTCCAGAAAGGATGGATGCAAATAACACTTTCATACCATAAATATTTAAAAATCCATCTGATTAGAGTACACTAAACTTCAAGTGTATTTGAAAAGCAAGAATCCCTCTTTGTAATAAGTATGCTCTCATACTGGTCTGTCTTACTCAGATTTCTGAATACAGAGTTTTTCAAAGTAGGGAACAGTCCTACTAATTTGGTCATATCAAAATGGTAAGAAGTTCGACACAACTCAAAATCAAATTAACTTTTACTTTTTGAAAATAATTTTTAGTCTATGTATAAGTAATAAATATAATGCATTATTAATATAGTTTTTTAATGTGTTATTACACTTAGAATGGATAAACAACAAGGTCCTACCATATAGCACAGGGAACTATACCCAGCCTCCTGGGATAAACCATAATGGGAAATTATATATATGTATAAATAAAAGAATGTGTATATGTATATAACTGAGTCATGGTGCACAGCAGAAATTGGCACAATTAAATCAACTCTACTTCAACTAGAGAATAGGTTTTTCCATATACTAGAAAATAAAAAATACTTACTATTATTTTCTTACAGTCTTTTCCTCTGCATAGTTCGGTATAGGTAGAGTATTGCACATATATAATCCAGCTTCCAACAAAAACCGCCAACCAGGAAAAGAAAAGATATTTCATTCGCACATATGAGAAGCGAGCCTGTAAGCAAAAGAGCACATAACAATCAATCATTCAGCACCCAGTCAGCATTCACTGTCCTAGAACATGACTTTTCCCCCTTTCTTGGAAGCACTCAATATATATTCTAGGCTTTCATATGGCAATTCTCCTAGAACAATGTGTACTTTCACTGAGTCTAAAAAGCATTGGTCTTAGAAAAGGAAGCTCCTTGGTCTTGCCAAGAAAAAGAGAACAAAATACCCTTTAAAATGTATAATCTTTCAAATACCACCAGCATCCAAAGCTACTCATTAAGCACAAGCACGTGCACCGTGCTACCCTGGACACCCAGTAAGATCAGGTAAAGAGAGACACAGTCCCCTCTTATGACAAGCTTACAGAAGACTGGTTCAAATAAGAATCTTAAAGTTCTTTATGAATAAATAGGGCAAAAACAATTGTGTTTTAAAGAAATAAAAACAGAGAACTTGGCTACTAGTCTAGGTACAGTGAGGTACAACTAGAGTTAAGAAATGAAACTTCACATTCATTCCTATTTCTCTGCTGTATTCACCAATGCTTTATGTTCCTTTTATTCAATCAATCAAATGCTTCACCTAACAGATATTCTGTAAATTTGAGGGAAAAGTTACAACTACTAAAAGAGAAGAAAGATTAAGATATATAAAGAATAAATGACTCCCCACATGCCAGTTTGTAAAGCTGTACAATAAGATCCTCTTTGCCTCGCTTTGCAACTTGTGCTCTGGTATCTAATTGCGACTCGGGTCAGTTGGTGGTTTTTCTCCATCAACCACACATCAAACAGTTTCATCTCCGAAACTGTCAGCTGGTCAAGATAATTTGACATTTATGTTTTGAGTCTGGAACTCCAATGGTCTGATTTTATAAATAACTGAATTTAGGACCATGGGGAGAATTGAGCAAAAATAAATTAAAGACATGTAGACAAATAACGAAAAGCTAGTTTTGCTTTTATAACCCCAAGTCAGTTTCTCACACTGGACAACAGTAGGATACTGTGAGCGCTGTGGGCATGCAAAGCAAGCCGAAAGAGATGAAAGAGACATAAGGGCATCTGCAGAGACAATGAGTGCAGAGGAAAAAGGGACTCAGAAATACTGAACTCTTTTGGCTTTATTTGTGGTTTAGATACCGGTCTTTGTGAGGTGAATCCCAGTACCAAAAAGCTTGAGTACAACAAATTCACAGTTAAATGATAGGTCTCTGAGTTTTATTATTAAAATTTTTTTTTAAAATGCCTTAAATGCAAGCTACTTTTATATAGCTCTAAATGAATCCAATAAAAAGAAAGTCCAGATAGATTTCCAAATTAAATACATAAATGACCATGAGTATACACCCAGGGGTTTGTCTGAAAGACATTTAAGATTACCTGGCCCTAATAAGAGGTCTAGTCATCAGATAGAAATTGATATGTACTAGTATTACAAAGCTTAAATATTACTGAGTGACATAATGCCTACAGAACATAAGCACTTTGCTAGGCACACAGAAAATACTCAACAAATGTTAGCAAAATCAATTTGCAAGGCCCTGAACAAAAAGCCAGTAACGTTGTCATTATGATAGGCCACTGCCTTCTTTTTGGGCTTGCCAAAAAGAAAACTGAATCTGAATCTGATTAAGCCTTTAGCTCCAACTACCAGTTTACAGGAAATACAGGAGACAGAGGCATATAAGTAACACTTAAGTAAATGACAGTATTAGGATACAATCAGCAAACTCTAGGCTGTGGGAAATGCGGCAATACAAATAACCCAGTTCTTCAACAAATAAATTACAAGGGAGAAAAGAGAGAGAAGATGAGAAAACCAAAGATCAAAAAATACTTAAGAAATATTGTATATTAAATAATCACATTTCGTGATCTTTTTTGAGTCCTGATTCAAATGAAAAACTGTAAAAAAAAAATGACATTCATGAGACAATTGAAAACTTGAAGGCTGACAGGATATCTGATGCTATAAAGGCATTATTTTAGTTTTTTAGGCATAATAATGTGATGTTTAAAGAAAAACAACTTAATCTTTTCAAGATAGACACTGAAACATTTATGAATGAAACAGTACCTGGGATTTGCTTCAAAACAATATAGGAAGGGAAAGGTAGGTGGGAAAAGTATTAAAACAATACTGGCCATAAGTTGGTAACTGTTCAAGCTGGGTGATGGTTACATGCCTTCTTTTGTACAGGTTTTTCTCTACTGATTTAACATTTTTTTATGTTGTACGATAAGGAATACTTTCATACCAAGATATCCACTTCCCACACATTCATTCAGCAACTTATCTATTGTCTACTATGTGCCTGGCGCCACCTTAGGCACTTTCAGAACATTTGCATTTACAGTGACAAACAAATCCTAAATACCAGATAAGTACCCTTCACACAGTTCAGAGGGTTTCTTGGACAACGGTAGCGTGGCATGATTTTACTTGTATAAGTCCAATCTTTTGTGTGTATGTGGCCATTAGAGAAAGATTATTTAATAAAAGATAAGATAACTTAATCATTTGGAAATAGCATATTTAAAAACCTAAAACACATCTTACATCAAAATAAATTCCACAGGAAACTGATACACATGTAAAATATGAAATAATATAATACAAATGCAGGGATTTTTCAAAAATATTTTTTGAGATGCAAAAATTCTAAATACCAAAAAAAAAAAATTCTAAATACCACAGAATCTCTAAAAGAAGACATTGACTATGTAAAAACTTTAAAGTTGTGACAAAAATCACTGTAAACAAAGCTGAAAGATAAAATGGGATGTGACAGGAGTTTTCATCATTAGATTAAGAGAGAGTAGCCAGAGGGCTCAGGACAAGAATTGAAGTCAGCAGGAGATTTGTACTCACTCCTATGATGGTGGTAGGGTTGTCATGGCTTTTCTGAAAGAGCAGTTAGCCATATACATCAAAAACTCTAAAAATTTTCATCTAGCAAATTCTACATTTAGGGATGTATCATAAGTGAAGAATTAAGTCTATACTATATACATACCCACACACACATCCCCCAACCACTCCCATGTAATATATATGACATCTTTTACACCTATTATTATAATAGCGCATTATCAGAGGCAACCAAGTTTCAGCAATCAAGAAGTTACTGAATACAATTATTGAAACCATTTTATTTTAGGAAAGCTATTTACAAGCTATTTATGGGCAACAACTTTATACTCCTAGATATCATTAAACTATGTACAATTAGGGACAGCACTATACAAGAGCAGACAGCAGAATTAAACAGAGCAGACTTAAGGAAACATCAATCTTCATTATTTTGCCCGTTATTCATTGTGTACAAAGAGGCATGAAAGCAGTTTGAAATCTTTCAGTGGCCATAAAGTTACAATCAACCACTTACATGAGAAGTTCGATCTTATAATATTGAGATGGGGTTTTAAAACAAGATTAATCTCAATTCGTTTAGTAAAAATTCAAGCTTCCTTACACTGTAAAATAATATTTTCTTTTTTCCTTTTTTTACCTTGTTCTGCAGCAGGTAGAAGTCACAGGGTAAAGGAAACCACGCAAACATGGTGAGCAGGTTCTCTGCTAGCTCAGAACCTGGTTCTGTCTTACCTTCTCCTTGACACCCACCTCAAGAAGTCTAGTAATGTCAACTACCTTTGGAGTCTCCGTCAACAATTTCTATTAGCTATCAAATGCATATCAAGCTTAATAGATGTTGGCACCAAAGACCTGTCTATTTCTCCCTCCTGCACAGCCAATTTAATAAAACTTGAAGTCATTTTGTTTTTCTCTCAAAGAGCTACATTAAATTTTCTTTCCTCTGGCATATGTTTAAATGGAAAAATACCCTGTAAACTGGCTTGCCCACTGTGTGTTCGTCATGATACAGAATGCCAAAATTTTTGGAGAGGAAGTTGGATTGATGATGTTCCCAGCAGGGCAGTGGGCATCACCTGTTATATATAAATGACAAAAGGAATGAAACACATTTTTATTCTAGTATGTCACTGAAATTACCGTGATTTGAGGGTAACACAAACTAGTATAAAGGCTTTCATGTGTCCTTTAATTTCTGCGGATCCTGTTGCCTCACATTTTAAAATAAAGATTGAAGAAAAACAGCCATAAATGACATCTGTAGCTACTGACTAATTTTATTTCCCTGTGTGGCACTCACTAAAATGTTCCCAGTGGTCTGTTCTGTATCAATTACCTAGACAATCTAGACTTTGATGAAAAAATATAGTTACAGTTTATGACCTTTTTATTGATGCTGAACTATCCAAAATACTGCCCAGAAGCAAAATTTGTTCTGCTGATTTGGGGCCTAGCTACTTCCCTGGTGGCTTAGCTGGTAAAGAATCCGCCTGCCTGCAATGCAGGAGACCTGGGTTCAATCCCTGGGTTGGGAAGATTCCCTTGAGAAGGGAATGGCTACCCACTCTAGTATTCTGGCCTAGAGAATTCCATGGACTGTATAGTCCATGGGGTCACAAAGAGTTGGACACAACTGAATGACTTTCACTTTCACTTTTCACTATTGGTACATTGCTTTATTCCAAATTATGCTCCTGAAAGTCATGATAAGAATTTTAGAGAATACACTTATGGCATGATTCTCAACTAGAGTCAGTTTTGCTCCCTGGGGATACCTGGCAGGGTCTAGAACCACAAAGGGTGATTGGAGTCTTGTCTGTTGAGGCCAGAAATGTTGCTAAACATCCTTCAATGCACAGGAGGGCTCCCCACATCAAAGAATTATCTGCCTAAACATCCATAGTGCTAAGGCTGAGAAAATTTGTATTATGGTTACAAAATAAAATGAAAGCAAAGATTATGGGGTTGAAAGAATCAAATTTGTATGACACTATCATTTTATTTTAAATTAGTCTTTAAAGCATAAACTACTACTTAATTAGAAAAATATAACATCTGTCTGGAAATAACAGAAATAATTATTAATGACTAAATGATTGGCAATATCTTATTATAAACAAAGAAAAA